GGTCCAGCTCTCACATCCGTAGGTGACTACAGGGAATACCATGGCTTTGACTAGGCGGATCTTTGTTGCAGTCTGATGTCTCTACTCCTTACGATTTTATCGAGATTGGACATTGCTCTCCTCCCAAGAAGTAAGCGTCTTCTGATTTCCTGGCCACAGTCTGCATCTGCAGTCATATTTGCGCCTAGAAATACAAAGTCTGTCACGGCCTCCACATTTTCTCCCTCTATTTTCCAGTTGTCAATCATTCTTGTTGCCATAATCTTGGTTTTTTTTTTGACGTTTAGCTGCAACCCAGCTTTTGCGCTTTCTTCTTTCACCTTGATTAGAAGTCTCCTCAGCTCCTCCTTGCTTTCGGCCATCAGAGTGGTGTCATCTGCATATCTGAGGTTGTTAATGTTTCTTCCAGCAATTTTCACCCCAGCTTTGCATTCATCAAGCCCTGCACATCGCATGATGTGTTCTGCATACAAGTTGAATAGGTTGGGTGAGAGGATACAACCTTGCCGTACGCCTTTCCCAATCTTGAACCAGTCTGTTGTTCCGTGGTCAGTTTTACTGTTGCTACTTGATCCTTGTACAGATTCCTCAGGAGAGAGACAAGGGGGCTTGGTATGCCCATCCCACCCAGAACTTGCCACAATTTATTAGTATTAGTACTCACCCCAAATACAACACCACCAGACATTTTCTTGCAGTTTACAACATTTATTGAAGGAGGCCAGGGAGTGAGCCTCAAAGGACCACAAATAGATGCCACAGGGACAAAGGCAGCAGGAAACTTAGTCTTTCTTTAATATGGCGTGGCTCACCTGGAGCATCCCAAAGAAAGCTGGGCAGGCTTGGGCAAAGAGACAGGCAACAGGGCAAACAGAAGCCACTGGAAACAACGTCTTTCCCAATAAATGGACAAGGACTTCTAGCAAGGAAAGGAAAGCCATGAACCACACTGACTGAGACACATCTAAGGACAAAAACCACAAGAAGACATTTCCACATTTTGAAACACAACGGCATAATTCTACTGGATTGTCACTCTTGGCCAGATTGCCATAGCTTGTGACATTAAATCACAGTGAAAATGGGCAACATGGCAAATATCATTGGCTTATGAAGTCATCCCCCCATTTGTGGATTACATTTCTGGGTATTTGATTACAATATTATCTCTAGTAATTTCTAGGTTTTCCAGTGCAACTCTTTGGTCAACTTTTGCTGGAAGGGAATCAATCATACAGTCCTGCTAGAGAAGCTAAATATTCCTAGAAAGGTGTACCCTCAGATAAGAAATAGCCATGTTACCTCTCAACAAAGGATTCCCCCAGGCAGGAAGCAGCCAGGCTTTGAAGCTGCAAGGCCATTCAGTGCTAATTAAGGTGGCCAACTGCAACATTCACACTTGCCTCAAACAGACAAGAGTTCTTCCTCCCACCCTGGACATGGTTGTTAGAGTGGCCCATCATTTCTGTGTTCTCAAATAATATGCTGTGTCCAGGTTGGTTCATCAAGTGCTCTGCCTACGAGTATTTAAAAAAAAAAACCCTCTAAAATCAGGACAGGAAATAAAGACAACAAGGGAATTCCAGACAGGAAACAATCAAGGCCAGCTAAAACCGCCCAACAACGGATTCCCCCAGGTAGGAAGCAGCCAGACTTTGAAGCTGCAAGGCCATTCAATGCTAATCAAGGTGGTCAGTTGCAGCATTCCCACTTGCCTCAAACAGACAAGGATTCTTTCTCCTACCCTGGACATTTCACAGCAATAGAAACCTCACTTACCTAATTTCCAACAGACCTCACAACCTCTGAGGATGCCTGCCATAGATGTGGGCAAAACGTCAGGAGAGTATGCTTCTGAAATATGGCCATACAATCTGGAATTCTGGCCATAAAAGCTTTCAAAAAGCCATGTTATTTATGGGTGTTTACTTTTGTGGGTCTTCTGTGCGTCTAACTGCAGTGAATGTGGAGGGATGATAAACCAAAGTGGAGACGCTGAACAGATACCAGAAATGGGGAAGGGACAATTGGGGAAAACAAACCAAAGTGGACCAAAAAGCTCCCATATTTCACAAGATTAAGACTCACAAGACAAAGGCATCATTTCCTTGCAAACCATTTACACCTGAAATTTCACAGTCTAGACAAGACAACATTTTGACACACGTTGGAAAGGTTACACATTCAGGACATTTCTGCATGTGAAAGTAGGTGCAAAACATGGGCTGAGAGCTAGTTCATATTATGATAACAGCACCAGACCCATCCTGTGAATAATGAGATATTGCAAGTACTCCTCCGATCTACGAGGGGCGTTCCTTCGAGATTTCCCCTGACCCACTTCCTATGGACTGAGAGCAATGAAACTTGGCACTCTTATGAGTCCTTCTCTCCATTGGTGCCACCGAGGGACACACACTTTGCTCATGTTTTGAAGCAACTGTAAACATCTTGCTTTTAGAAGTCGACAGGCTGCTCCAAAAGCCACGGAAATCAGATTTTCACCATCTGAAAAATGCTTGCCCTTCAAAAATAACTTCCTTGTTGGAAAGAGGTGGAAGTCCAATAGTGTGAGGTCTGGTGAATAAGGGGGATGCAGTAGAATTTCAAAGCCAC